CCTCTCCAGATGTCAGCCATGGAAGAGGGAGTAGGGGGGAGGAAGAGACAGAGAAGAAGGAAAAAGGGCTGTCCCCAGGAAACTTCCCAATTTATAGTGATTGTGATGTTTATGGTATGGAATAGTATTAACTGGTCAGTCTAGGGTCACCTTGGGGTTGACTCCCCTGGGTTTCCATTCCCCCAGCCTCTTCAACTTTAACTCAAGACCTGAAGACCTTGAGCACTCTGGCAACCTGCACACCAGTATTAGCTGAAACCTATAACAAAGTTTTTATCGACTTTGTTCCCATGAAATAGAGTAATGCAGTCCTTACAAAAATTGCAGTTTTCCTCAACAGAAAACTGACTCTAAAATGTGGTCCTACTAAACCAGGACAGTTCCCCGCTGTGACACCCCCTTGTGTCAGTGGGATCCCCGCTGGGCAGGAATGGGGATGCTGTGCTGACAGGTGGGATTGGAGACTGTGTTGGGTTACTCTGCCCCATCACCTCACCTGAGACCATCCCTCGATGGGGTGAAGGCACAGAGCAACCCCACACCCTGCCAAGGTGCTGGACCCAGTGAGTAATCTCATGGAAAACTTCTGTTGTGGCAGGAGTCTCAGAATGACAGAGAAGGACTCCTTGTCTCCATTTATTCACCTCCAGGAGAAGAAGAAAGAAAATGAAGTGTTGCAAAAGGCTCTGGAGGAGAAGAAAGAGGTGAGAAAGGTGGGAGGGTGCTGAGGCATGAGTAAGAGAGCTTGTTGTTTTTTGGAAGGCAGCAGTGGGTGGGTGACAGGCTCCAGGGGTGGGCGACTGGCTCCAGGGGTGGGCAGCCATGTCACACTCACTCTGGTGCTGCCAGGCCTTCAGAGAGAAGATGGAAGTCATAAACAGCCGGTGGAGGGATCTCCACACCAGGGATGCTCAGCTGAAAGCCTACATGGAGGAATCTGGGAACAGTTTAAAGGTACACCTGCCCCCGTCAGCTTGGCTGACACACCACCACCTCCTCCCCTCTCTCGGGGAGACAGTCTTGGGCCAACACCTCTGTCCAGGCCTCCCTTGGGCCTGGAGGTGTGACGAACAGGACTGGCAGGGCATGGGGATTTGTACCACAGATGTGGAAAGCCCACATAGGACTTGAGTGGGAGAGAGCTTGTCCTGTACCAGTGTCATCTCCTGAGGGCCCCAAGCACCTTCCCAGAAGGGTCTCAGCCTGTCCCCACTGTTGACACCCAGGTATCTTCCAGGGACAGATACCAGCAGGTCTGAAAATCAGATTGCTGTGCTAGGTGCCTGTCTCCAAGACCAAAGGGTCAATGCAAGAGGGATGGCCCTGTCAAACAGGGAGTGAAAATATTCCCAGGGGTGCTCCAGTACTGGTCTCTCCTCCATGAAGGTGTCTCCTACCAGTGCTGACAAGTGACCTAGCTCCATCTTCCTTTGCCTTCTTCCCCGCCCCAATGTGTATGTGCACATGTGTGTGTGTTGGGAAACATCAACAGGAAAATGAGATTATGCAACTCCAAGCTCTGAAGAAAGCCAGTGAAGACAGAGAGATTAGGATGCAAAAGGAGACTGAGCTTTTGAGAGCTAAGAGGGAACTGGAAGCCCTGAGAAATGAGTACCAGAAACTCTGCAGCAGAGTGCAGAAGTACTCCATCTTCAATAAATATATGGAGGATGCGGTGAGGATCTCACAGGTGAGTTTGAACATGAGAGAGACCAATCATGGCCTGGAGGAGGGCTTTATGTGGGTGCTAAACTTAGAGGAGATAAGACAGGTCCAGGGAAATGATAACACTTGGTCAAAGCCAGAGACCTTGGATAGGATGCGAAGAAGTTCTCTGCAACCAGGGTGAGCCAAGGAGACCAGAGCTAGGGGAGGAGAGCAAGAAAAGGAGGCAAAGGCTTCAGAAAACAACAACAAAAAAAACTGTTAGAAGGGGGAAAAGCACTGGGCTGAGGGGCAAGGGGACCCATTTGTGTCACTGTTTCATATCACATTGATTGTTTGGGAGAAAGGAAAAGCTGCCCAGGAATGGGAACCCAGGCAATTGTCAAGAAAAGCTGTGCCCTCTCTCAAGGATACTCAGGCATCATTGTGCATTGCTCAGACCCCTGCAGTCCTAGCTGCCCCCCTCCCACATCTAGGTGTCTCGATGCTGGCAGTTGTAGTTGTGCTTCGTGTTTTATCAGAGCACTGCTCACCTGGGGAAGAGGTGCAATAGCTACCCTTGCTTATGGCAGTGACAGCCTGGGGGCTGGCACAGTGAGATGTCAGCATACAGGGGATGTGATGAGGCTCACAAACCAACTGCATCAATGGGCCCATCAAGAAGGAAAGATATTTCAGCTGAGAGCAATCCTTGGTCAGGAGATGTTGCCAAACAGCATAAGACTTGCAATCGTGATGACGGGAGGGCAGGGGGATTACTAACTCCAGGACCCCTTTTGCTGCATCCAGGCAGTCCTCCAGCGCTATGAGATGCTGGCGATCATGCATGAGGAGCTGCTGCAGACACAACAGCAGCACCAGGAGAGCTCTGAACAAGCCAAGGTGTACCTGGACCAGTACAAGGCAGAGAAAGAAGCTGAGATCCTGCAGTACAAAAATGAGCTGGTGCAGCTCCAACAACGTTTTGAGCAGGCTCAAAGTGACGTCCTTCTCTGGGTGAGGAGATGTGAGGTGGGCAGGGGAAGATCTGCAAGACCTGGCTGTGGCAAGACTATGAGATGGCTCATCCACAAGCCATGGGGTCACAGCAAGGCCTAGTAGCAGTCCTTGTGATTGGAGCAGTTGCCTAATTTTGTCCCTCCAAGGGGTTATAGAATGCAGAATGACAGACCAGGTCTGGAACAGGGGTTAAAACAAGGCCTTCACAAAGCCATTGTGACCTTTCACTTCTTGCTTGAGCTCGTAGTCAAGAGATCAGCTAACCAGACTTCGGGGCCATCTGCCTTGGCGCAAAACCCAAGCATACTCCACCATGTGTCTACTGGGTTTGTCTAGCCTGGTCATACTCATTTCCATTCACCATTCCTTGCAGCAGCATCCCTGTGATGGGGCTTCAATGTGGCATGTCTCATGGTCTCCGCTGTTCATGGCTCAGGCCTTCGAGTAGAGTTAGTTTTGCTGGTTTTTATTATTTGTTTTCATCCCTTGCTCAGCATCGGCCCACCAGGGCTCGCCCCTTCTCCTCCCTCCTTACCAGTCCCAAAATGACCAGAGCAGTGGTAAACTGGGCTGTACTGAGGCACATCAATGTGTAACCAGTGCTCAGAGTGCAGAAATATCCTCATGTCTGCAGGCCTCCTCTCCCTGTGCATCATTCTGAGGGGGCCTTGCCAAATTTCCTTACTGGATACTCCAGGCTTCAGGAGCTGGGTCCCATCAGGCAAAGCAGGAAAGCACCAGTCTGTAAGGGTGGCTATGGGATGTGCTGCTCCCAAGGTATCAGCTGGCCCTGCTGTGGGGAGTGCAAATGGGGCCTGCAAGGAGGACCCACCAGAGGACCACAGGAACTGGCAGGGAGATGGGGGAGTTCCCGAGGCAAGGAGCTGCTGTGGTGGTTTCTGGATCTGCTTCCACTACACCAAGCTGAACCACCGCCAGCACAGCCCTGGGCAAGGACAGGTTCTTCCTAGCAAAACAGATGAGTGTGGAAGTGGGGGTCTCCAAGCAAGGTTCTTCAGTGCTGAAGCAGCAACTTTACTGGGCATGTCTCCTCTCCTCAGGAGACTCGCTGGGCTGACATTCAGAACATGAGTGCCAAGAAAATTCTGGAGCTGGGAACCATCAGGATGGCCATCTTCAACCTCTTCCAGTCTGTGTGTGCACAGCTGAAAGCAAAACCAGAGGTGCTGGTGGATGATAGCGACAGACAGCTGGACATGGTAAGGCCAAGGAGACCCTTTCTCCCTGCCCAGAAAGAGGAGGAGGAGGGACCCTCCGCTGCCCAAAGAGGGGAGAGAGCCCAGAGAAAACAATGTGCCCTCCTTTTCACCTGGGCTCTCTTTTGGGGAATGAGCAGAGGACATCAGGCAAAACCGTCTCATCCGAGGAGGCAGAGCAGGGTGTGGGTCCCCATGGGGACAGGAGTGGGGAGACTGGGACAGGGGATGCAGGTGATGCAGATCAACCCACGGCCAAGGTTTGCTTTCATTTGTCCTTGCCCTGAACTCTGACTCACCCACAAAAGCCCATGCTGGTAGAGCAGATCCAGCAAGGCAAATGCCTTCTCCTCCCGCTCAGTTTGGTTGGTGAAATTTGCCCTCTGAAAGGGCCAACAAGTTCTGCCTCTTGTTCCCACTCCTCTCTAAGCTCTGTCATCTCTCTTCCGTCCTCTAGATTCAGACGTTTATCCAACACTATGGAGACATCTGTATGAAGGTGGAAGAGGACATGCATAACCACCAGCCAGCAGCTATGCCTGCGGTGCTACAGGAGATTTGTCAATGTGACCTGCTCCACCAGTAAAGGCTCAGCAGAGTGGGAAGGGAAAGAAATATTGTAGACTCTACTGTTCGTTACACGAGTAACCATACTGTTTTGGCTCTTCTCTCCTGTCCTTTAATACGATTAAAAATAAACAACAATTTTAAGCTGTCTCTTCATTTCCAGGGAAGATCAGAAACATCAGAGTAGCTCCAGCCCACAGCTTCACCCCAGATGCTGTCGGAGTGCCTTCTCTGGCAGATGTGAATCTGATTTCAGGAGGCAGTGTCTCAGTAAAGCATGCAAGATAGGGAGAGCAGGCTAGGACAGGAATACAGTCTCAAACAGGGCTTCGTACTGGTGTTCACATTTGGACCACCCACTCAACCTAAGTGCTGAGATATTTGGGAGGGACATCACAACTGTGCTTTGGGAGAGCTGCAGACATTTTCCGCCACCACATCTAGCACCTCTGTGGATGGGGATTTCTCTGCACAGCCATGTGCTCTGTACTAAAACTTGCCTTCCTCCTCCAGCTGTTAGGGAAAGTGTGGGGAACAGATAGAGGCAAAGGACAAACCAGCCAAAGCTCTGCACTGAGCATTTAGCTGCTCATCGTGAGTGCTAACAACAAATACAAAACAAGAGGACTAAAACTGGGTCTGGAGATGCTGTGGAGTTCAGGCCAGGCTTGGAGTCTTACGGGGAGGACCTTTTAGTGAACCAAGGACCCAAGGATGTAAGCTTACAGATTTTTAGAAATAAGACCTTTGATCACATGCTTTCGGCCCCTTCTCTGCAGTAGTTACTCCTGTCCTGAGCCAGTGGATTCAGCTGATGGATACTCCAGAGAAGTCTGAGTCCAGCTGGGCTATGTTTATAATGACTGGGGCCTGGAGCAACCTCAGGCCCCTGATCCCTTCCTTCGAGAGAGAGGATGGCACAAATTAACCCTCTCCCTTCTCCAAATTGGTGCTTTCCTGAGTGGCACAGAAAGCAGATGCATCAGGGCTGGTGCTGGCTGCTGGTTTGGAGAGCAGAGGAAGGAGGAGTTCAGGGCAGGAACATCTGGCACAGGGTCTGAACAAAGGATGCTCCCTCAGTGTCTTTGTTGTTGCTTTCTCTGCAGGCTTGAATTCACAGGAATAAACTCAATTAAAAACACGGGATCTGAGGTCAGGGCTCACCAAGAACTCATCCTGGAAGCCCAGTTTCCCTCAAGCCTCTTGAACTCAGACCCACATTGGACCATTGAAACTTAGCGAGTGGCCATCCATGAGCAGAAAATGCCCTCAACATGATGCCAATGCAGAAGAAAACACTACCACGAAAGTCTCCATGGCAGACGCAAGGGCAGTGGCTGTTTCTCATCTGCTGTGTGTGGAAGAAGAGCTCATTTCTTTCTGAAGCCTTGACGTGCAAACGCAGTGTGGGCCATGACATGCCCTGTGTTCTTCTGAACAGATCCCCAGAGTGGTGGGAGGCGAGTGGCAGTTTGCATCTCAGCTGGCAAGAAAAAGTAAAAGCTGTTACAACTTTATGCAGCCACCATGTGCCTACACTTTAATGATTATATTATGTTCATTCTGTAAAGCAGGGATAATCACTGTCAGGGAGGAGCAAGAGTGGGCTGCTCCTCCAGGGAAGGAGCCAAGGTGACAGCAAAGCAGGCAGGAGGACATTCTTACTGACAGAACGCAGCCCTGTGGCATGCAAGCAAGAGCAGAGAGGTTCATGGCTGGGTCCAGGAACTCCCACACCAGTCTGCAGTGATGAGGCAGGACCAAGGTTGAGTCAGAAAGTCAAGTCAGCAAGGCAAGGCCAGAATCAGCCAGGTACAAGGCTGGGCGTAGACTTACCTGCAAGGCAAGGACCCAAGGCAAGGACCTCAGCATGAATGCACCTCCTGAGCACAACACAAGAAGCTCCAGCAAAGGCTCCACATAGCTCCTTATGCCTTAGCTTTTTCCAGCAGTCTGATCCCAAGTTACATGGCTGTCCCACATCAGAGCTGGCCTTGAGCACTGGCAGCCAGACTCCTGGCAGGTGGGAAGGGTCACAGAGCCCATGGGTGCACAGAGAGCCCCACGGTGGTGACATTTGCCAAGAGCCATACTGCTTCTTATGGCAGGAGCTCAGATCAATGTCCTATTGAAGCCACCATGAAATGGGCACTGTGGTCTGGGCTCTGCTCTGCTTGGTGTATGCATACACAACCTTTGCTCCAAGGACCACAGGGTGCAAGGAAGAAAGAGATGCCCAGTCTGGGAGCAGAAGCAGCATAGAGGAACCCAGGGTCACCCAGGGAGTGAATGACAGAGTTGAGAAGAGGTTGGTTTCTTACCCATTGCCCATCCAGAAGGAGAGAGCATTTAGTCACCACATCAACATAGTGGACCATGGCTTAGGGATAGGAGCTGATAGTTGTGGGGTGATGCTCAGTGGGGTAAATGGAAGGCTTTCCCTTGCCTTTGGTAAAGACTTTACATGGGGGCTGTGGGTCTCCAGTGATTCCTTGCAGGGGAAGAACTTCCCACAAATCCCAAAAGACATACATTTCCTGCTGCCATGCCTAGGCCACCTTCCCCAGCAAGAAGACACCTTTGGCCTAGCTGTGCTCTCCACCATGACTGGGACTGTGGACGTGGCCTTGAGAGACCGGTGGTGCAGAGCACTTCGGGGCAGTGAAAATCAATTTCTCAATGGGAAGCAAATATATTTCTTTTTTTTTTGGCATGGAGTGATCCAGTGCTCAGGCCTGGACTGGGCCTCATGGGTGCCAGGGCTAGATCTGAGGCCCTTCACTCCACAGTCAGCAGCATCCTCGGATGTTTGCCTTCCCTGCTCTTCTGTGAGACCAAATACACAGCAGCAGATGAGAGGAAAAAAACAAACAGGAGAGAGTGAACATTTCTGAGGCTCTCAGGGGTCCCAAAGGTTGGTAAATTTCTGATAGAGGCACTGGTGATGATACCGAGAGCTGCTGCCTGCCCTGGAAAAGTCAGCTCATGACTCATCGGAGCAGAGACGATGTTGTGCGTTTGTGCCCTTGCATCTCATCTCAGCAGTGACATATCAAAAGGGACCAGGAGCATTTACACCCATCCTGAGAGGTGACTCAGCTGTCCCCTCTCCTTCCACCCACGGGCACCCCCTCACTCCCTTTGGTGCATCTCACTGGTGGCAGCTGATGGGAGCTGATGGAAGAGGAGCAGCTCTGCCCAGCCGCTGAGGAAGACAGGGCACTGCAGCTCTGAGGCTTTCACTCTGACCAGGGATGGTCTGAAGGCACAGCTGTCTCCAGGATGGGCTTATGGAGAGGACAGACTGATGGGCCAGCTTCCTAGAGTTCTTTGGACACTGAGTGCTGGCGAGTTCAGAGACTAGTCTCTTCTCAGGATGTCTGAGCTGAGCTCTTCTGAGGAATCTTCAGCACAGACAGAAAGACAATGAGACATACTGGTCCAACCAGGCACTTTCTGGTCTGTTTTGATGTACTTTTTTCCTTTCATTCAGCAGACTGGGCCTGGCAGTTTCCATATGTCAGCTGGTACTGCACATTCAGCATGTCCCTTAGAGCATCTCTCAAAGACCAGGCTGGAGACCTGTGCTACGGACTGGTCCCAATGTCCTGTCTGCTCCTGGTCAGCCCCAGCAGCCTTCACCATCCTGAACATGAAGCCACAACGCATGTGGATGCTGCTGTGCAGCATCATTTACTGGAACTGCTCGGTTCTTTGGCCCTATCCATGCCCCCACACAGTGAAATGCCTAGTTTCAGAAAGTCAGAGACCAACAATTGAAATTTGAGGGCAGATTTTTGCCTTTTCATATGTGCCATTCATGCCTCACCAGCAGAACAAAGATAGCAAATCTCCCCCTGCAAATGCAAAGCCCTTGAGTAAGCCATACTCAAGTCCCAAGTTGCTGAGAGTCATTGCAACTACCTCTTCTTCCTCTATAGAGCTGGACAGATGGTATTGCTCCTTAGATGCACCACTGACCTCCTGAGCAAGCTCTTTCAAAGAGAGCATGTCAGGCTGTCCACCACAGGGGTTGCAGACAAGCCAGTGGAGGGAGAAACCAGGAGCATAGGGATTTCTACCTGTGGGCACATCAGGTAAAGGGAGTTATGCCCTGATGTCTTTGTCATTAGCAGGGTGGTGGGACAAAGCTGTGCCTGACACCAGCCTGGATCAGACCCAACCAAGTTGCTGGAAGGACAGAGGGGGTGACGCAGAAGAGATGCTGTCTCTGGCCTTGTCCCAGGTGGGAAGGTATGACAAGAAGGTATTTCCCTGACTGCTCCTGAGGAGATTTGCTGCCTGTTTGAGCCATGCCTTGTGGTCTTCATAGCCAACAGCACACTCAGAGAGATGTGAGCACCACAATAGCACCTTTTAGCTTTCCAGCCCAGAAGATTCAGTGTCGTACATATGGGTCTGCTGGAGAGGCTCTAGCCAGCTTATGGAGCACAGGACATGCCCTGGATGGCTACAAGATGTCTAAATAACCTGGATTCCTCACCTCTCCTCACACGATTAGGAGTTCGTAAAGATGCCTCTTCAAGAAGCCTTGGCAAGAGATGGCAGGGTAAAGGGGACAGGATGGAACCCCAAGTGTGCACTGACACTGTCATGACTGAGGTGAAGGGCTCCTGGCTCAGGCTTGCCTGGAAGGGGAACCAGGGGCTATAGGGGTGTAGGGGACAGGCACTGGCTGG